CTGAATAATTTAAAAGCAATGTATGATAGGGTATTATGGTTATCACCAGAGTCCACAATTAAGGTTGCATAGTGGAATGTACTTGGGGCGGTGAGAGGGGTGCGGGGTGATTTTCTACCAGGGAGGGTGTCTTTCTTTTACTTTTGAAAGAGAGGAGCCAACTGGGGGGCGTCTTTAGAAGGCTGGGTGGGTAGAGAACTTCAGCAATGAATGAATGGAAATCCAAATTATCTGTAAATGTTCATTAAAATTATTAAAAAAATAAATGGATAGGAGAATTGTTAAAATTTGTTAGGTGCCATCAAGTCAATTACAATTCATAGAACAGCAGATCTGAACCTTGTCCTGCATCATCCTCATGATCTCTGTCAAGTCCAAGCCTGTTGTGGCAGTAATCATGTCAATCCATTCCATTGAGAATGCTCTTCTCTTTTGTGGTCCCTCTACTTTTGCAGCTTGATATTCCTCTTCAAATATGGTTCCTCCTAAAAATATGCCCAAATTAAGTAAGATTAAGTTTCATCATCCTTACTACTAAGAAATAACCTGGTTGCGCTTCCTTCTAGACACATTTATTTGTTCTTTGGACAGTCCATTTTATAGTCAATACTCTTCTCTAACACAAACATTCAAAGATATTGATTCTTCTTCCGTCTTCCTTATTCATTGTCCAACTTTCAGATACATATTGAAAGTACCATAGTTTTGATCAGGTACATTTTAATCTGTATACCAGCATCCTTGCTCTATAGAACAGTTTAGGAGGTAGAGCTCCAAATTCAGGGTATGACTCTAGAAGAATGTCCATTCTCTGTCATTTCTAGAGAAGTCATTTTCTCCAGCATTTGTAGGCTTAGCATTGCCTGGTGATTTTCAATAATCACCCCTATGTCACAGAAATCCCATCACACACAGGAACATTAGCTTCTAGGACTGCTCCACTATTGGGTTGGTTTTTGTGATTTGATTTTTTTTTTTGTGATACTGCGGTTTTTCACTCTGACACCTTCCTCTCTCCTTTTACCTCCCATGAGACACAATAGTTGGAAGTTCTCAGGGAACTTGGGCCATAATCTAATTAATGGTGTTGCATCTCACTCTAATCCTGGCACAACTGATTGGCTAATCACTTCTCAAATTACATTATGAAGAATTATTATTTTTAGGTTCCACTGAATTTACTTCTACTTGTAAAGACCCTATGAACAACAGATCGAAACCTTGTCCTATCCTGTGCCATCCTCACTCTCACCACCATGCTCAAACCTATTGCTGTAGCCACTGTGTCAATTCATCTCTTTGAGGGTCTTACATCATGGCATAACTGTCTCTAATTCTGCCTCATTAATATCTTAGAAGTAGGTATGTACAACACATAGTATAAGCCCCCTATACTTGGCTAGAATCATGGCCTACCCAAAAGGATACATATTTTGGGGGGGAACACAGATAAATCCATCAGAATATCCAAATAAACCACCTTATTACTCCAGGTTTCTAGATACACTGTATTCACAGAGATGTGCTCATGAATATATACCAATTATTTGTGTTGTTGAAAAGCTATAAATCATCTCTATAAGTACATATCTATATAATATGCACATACAATAGAACACTATTGAGCAGTTATAAAGAACAGATTTGAGTTAATATGCCTTTAGACACTCAAAATCCAGACTCATTGTTAGAGCAGAAACAGACTCAAAGTTGATGGTCCAAGGTCTCTGAGGCTGCAAGCTGCAGGAGAGAAACGTCCAACTTTTCTCCTGTTGGTAGATTTGAACCAGCAGAGAAACATGACCTTTGAATTTTCAGCACAACTCCTTAAAGATATACCTTTAGATAATGAGCAAAAAATGAGAATGGTATATCAGTTTTTAGAGTTTGATGCATGAAAACAGTATTATTTCTGGAAATATGTAATAAAAATAGAAGAATACATATGGAAATAATACACATAAATTTTCTAATTATAGTTAACCTGTTGGGAAAACACTCATTGCCAATGAGCCAGCTGACTCTGCAGTGAGTTTTCAGAGACTACAAATTGCCTGAGAGAATGTTGTCCATCTTTCTCCCACTAAATAGATAGAGTATTCAAACTTCCTTTCTCTTGTTTGGCAGCACAACTCCTTATCCAATAGGTCATGAGATTTGGGGCCTACTGTTGTCTTTATAATGCATATATGTTAAATGTGGAGCTATGAAAAACATGAGAAAATACACTAGAATATTCATATTTGTTATAGCAGGATTGTTATTCTGTTTTCACTAACCTGAACTCAACTAATTATGAATCTATGTGCCACTGCAAAATATTGCACAGTCCTGTGCCATCTTTGTCATCACTGATATCTTCTTATTCATTGTTCAGCCACTGAACATTTTGAGTGCCTTACAACCTAGGGAACTCCAGTCTTATCTTCTGTGTGATCCTGTAAAATTATGATAGGGATAGTAACATAAGAACAAATTTAAATTCAGGGAGAATAATGACTAGTGAAAGTCAGACATACCTCCACTCCTTATGCCTCCAATGCTCATCTTCTGGGTTTGATAATGCTTTGCAATGGTCATGTAGAACTCAAAGAATTAATGGTTTGTTAGGGAAATAATAAGAATTCCCTAGGCAGGGTTCTCTAGAGAAGCAAGACCAATGAAGCTTATAAATAGGTAGAAAGGTAGACAGATGGACTGGTTTCAAGGAAAAGCCTCACATTTTTGCATGTCAGACCTCAAGAGAAGGGCTTTTGGGGAGACAGCCCAAGCCGTCAGCAGATGGGCAGGATTTAAGGCTTTTGATTCAAAGATTGACGCAACTACAGTAGGGTACTGAAGAGTAACCATGTCAGCCTAGAGACTAAGGTGCACCTGATATAGGCCATGGCCTTTCCAAACACTTGCTATAAGTCAGAGAGCTGGACAACTATTAATGATGACAGAAGAATTGGTGCCTTTGAATTGTGATGCTAGAGAAAAGTGTTGAACATACCATTGACTGCCAGGAGAACAAACAGATCTGTCCTAGAGAGAGTGAAACCAGGCTGTTAACTGGAAGCAAAGATTTTGAAGTTCCATCTCACATACTTTAGGCACGTGGCCAGAAGAGAGCAGTCCTTGCAGGACATCATGCTTGGAAGGGTGGAGAGAAAGCACAAAAGAGGAAGATCCAGGATGAGATGGATTGACTCAGTGACTGCAGAAATAGCATTAGATTTGTCGAAAATTATGATTGGATCAGTATAAGGTAGCATTCAAAACTAAAGTACACAAAGTCGCTGTAAGTCCCAGGCAACTCGATGACACATAACAATATAGATAGATAGATAGATAGATAGATAGATAGATAGATAGATAGATATAGATAGATACCTTTGTGAAGCACCTGCATATATACACAATTCCTTGTCAATTTCAAGACAGGTCCTTGAAAACAGAGGCCACCAGCTAATCATTCCCCTCTTGGTAGGCTAGACATTTCATTTACATAATATAAGTGCAATGTATTACCATATTTTATAGTAATTTCTTTTGTTTGGTATCTTGACCAATTCCTGCAAAGTTCATACCAGTCATAAGACAATTGTCAGGTAGCTTAGGACTTGACAAACAATATCAAACCATAACTTGTATATTGCTTACTCAGGAAAAGGCAATTATCCTGGACAAAAGTAACAAACTTTCTGGAGTAGAATAATTGGTCAATTTCTTAAGGTTTAGGAGTAAAATCTGAAACTGTTTTTCAAAGAACTAAGAAAAAGGCCACATAAAAGAACATGTTTTACCAGAGATCCATCTTATTTCTATTAGCTGATTTCTGAAAGTAGATTGCTAAGCATTTCTTCCTATTCTGTCTTGGTCTAGAAGCTCCACAGAAACCTAGTTACAATGGGTGCCTATATTGTTATTTGAAATACCAGTGGTTGAGCTCCCAGTATTGTAACAAATACTAACATCACAGAACAACAAACTGACAGATGGATAGTGGTACAGTTGTTCTTTTTTTTGCTGTTGTGTATTGTTAAGTAGGAAACCAACTCCAGCAGGCTTTCAGAGGCTGAAAATTACACTGGAGGAGATTGCCCATGTGCCTTTGAGTTGGCAGTGCAACTCCTTACCACTAGGCCACCAGAGCTCCATTATAGCAGTGTAGTGGGTACTTATCCAGTATGTTTTAAACATGTTGCAGTGAAAGCATGTACTCAATTGACTGTGATGTCAATGAACAGATGGTTGTGTGTACACCTCGTGTGCAGGGCACGGGCCATGCTACCATTATGATGTGTCACAGAACAGTGATGCAACAAAGGAGTCTGGGCATTTCAAGATGTGCTTATTTAGAGTTTTCACTTGAAGGAGAGGCATATGTAACATAAACAAAGAAAGACAAATGTGTTATCTGCAGCTCCATGTTTTTCATAAGATAGGAATGAGAAAGAGTGGTAGACTTCCTGCTACTAGCTGCTTGTTAGTTAATAGGCGAAAATGATTGGAAGGCCAAAGCCAAGAATGGACGACAGAGTTTTTAGAGATGGTTCTGAAGAAGCCAGTGATGATGCTGATGTCAGTGCTCTACCCTCGCCACTCGAAAGCCCTGGCACACACTGGTATGTTACTTTGTAGAGTTCTTTCCATAGCCACTTATTCATGCTATACAAATCATATTTGTTATATGTACCCATGTACAGGAGATACTAAATCCACTCTTCTTTTTAGAGAAAAAATTTTCAAGCTGTTTTCTCTGAGTGGCTTTTTTCATCCGTGTGCTTTCTGTGTTCCATATAAATGAAGTCTAGGTCCATTCCATAGGATTGTGGACAAATTCTGAAAAGGAAACAAAATCCAAACTCACTGCCTTGGAGTCTGTTCTTACTTGTGATGCTCCCATGCACTCAAGGAAAGAAGAGTTGCTTCATAAGGTTTTCCTGGCTGTTACCTTTACAGAAGCACATGGACAAGCCTTTCTCTCATAGCATCACTATTACCATTGTTGTAGGTGCCATCAGATTGACTACAGCTCACAGCAACCCTGTGAATAACCAGTTGGAATTCTGCCCTATCCTACTCTGTCATCACAATCTCCAAAATGCTACAGCTGATTGTTACAGTCACTGTCAATCCATCTTGTTGTGAATCTTCCTTTCTGACCCTCCACCTTTCCCAAGGACTAGTCCCTTCTAACAATATGGCTAAAATAGGTTAGCTAACGTTTTATCATCCTTATCTCCAAGAAACACTCTGGCTGTACTTCCTCCAGGAAAGAATTATTTGGGGTATTTTTGTCAGTCCATGTTGTTATGTGCTGTTGAGTCAACTGTGACTCATAGTGACCCTATGTATAACAGCTCTGAACTCTGCTATATCTTGAGCCAATATTACTGTCGCTAGCATACTTACCCTCATTACTCCAGTAATTATGTCAATCCATATCATCCAGGGTCTTCCTTTCCTGGGCTGTTCCTTGACCCTTCCAGGCATGATATCCTTCTCCAAAGACTGATCTCTCCTGGCTACATGCCCAAAGTATGTACAGCAGAGCTTCAGAATCCTAGCCTCCAAGGAGAAACTTAGTTTCACCCTCTCCAGGACAGACCTAGTTCTTGGCAGTATATGACATATTCAATATTCTTCTCCAGCACTACTTCTCAAAATTATAAATTCTTTGTCTGCCATCCTTAGTCATTGTACAGATGTCTGATACATAGTAAGTAATTGTAGAGACCATGACCTGAATCAGGCACACCGTAGTTTTTAGACTCATTTCCTTGTTCTTCAGCACTCTGGATAGATTCCCAGACAGTAGAATTTCCTAATGCAATTCATCTTTTGATTTTATGACTATTGGTACCAAGAGTGTTGATTGTGGAACCAAGCAAGCTGAAATTGTTAACAATCCCAATCCCTTCTCCATCTATCATGATGTTCCCAATTGCCCCAGCAGTGAAAAAAATCTTCATTTTCTTGATGTTGAGCTTCAATCCATATTCCAAACTACAGTCCTTGACCTTCTGCAGCAAACGTTTCAGGCCTCCCTCAGTTTCAGCAAGTAAGGTTGTATCATCTGCATAATGCAGGTTGTTGATGAGGCTTCCTCTAATCCTGATGCCACATTCTTCCTCATAAATTATTTTAGTCGAATGATCTTTTTATGCAGACTGAAAAGATATGGAGACAGGACACATCCTTGATGCACACTCCTTTTCTGATTTTGAACTATGCTTTATTTCCTAGTTCTGTTCTGATGACTTCCTCCTCCTGGATCAAGTATCGATTTTGCATGAGCACAATTAGATGTTTTGGGATTTCCATTCTTCTTTACATTAGCCACAATTTATTGTGATCCACTCAGCCAAAGGCCTTTGCATAATCAATGAAACACAGATAGACATTCCTCTGGTACTCTCTGGTTTTGGCTAAGATCCATCTGACACTGACAGTGATGTCCCTAAGTGTTACATTCTCTTTAAATTCAGCTTGTATTTCTGATAGTTTTCTTTCTGTATCATTTCAGTCACTTATGGACAATCTTTGGCAGGATTTTGCCATTTTGCTTGTGTGATATTAATGATATGATGTATTATTTCATGCTCTGTTGGATCACCTTTTATTGGAATGGAAATAAATATAGATCTCTTCCAGTCAGTTGGCCAGGTGGCTATACTCCAGATGTCTTTGGACAGCCTGGTGAGCATACCCAGGGCTGCATCTGTCTGTTGAAATATGTCAACTGATATTCCATAAATTCCTTGGGCCTTGATTTTTGCCAATTCCTTTAGAGCAGCTTTAACTTCTCCTTCATTACTATTGCCTCTTGATCAATTGTTGTTTCATAAAATTGTTCTGCGTCAGGTAATTCTTTTGTACAGTGACTGTATACTCTTTCCATCTTCTTTAATGCTTCTTGGTTGTTGTTGTTGTGCCATCGAGTTACCTCCAACTCATAGTGACTCTATGTATAATAGCTCTGAACCTTGCCCTGTCCTGACTCCAACACATCTACCACCATTGCCCTAGTTACTGTATCAGTCCATCTCATCCAGTGTCTTCCTCTCCTGCACTGTCCCTCCACCCTTCCAAGCATGATGTCCTTCTCCAAGGACTGGTCATTCCTGGCCAAGTGCCCAAAGTATGTGAGACAGAGCTTCAAAACCATGTTCTCTAAAGAGAAAGGTGGTTTCACCCTCTTCAAGACAGACCTATTTGTTTTCTTGGTGGCCCATGGAATGTTCCAGACTCTACTCCAGATCCACAACTCAAAGGCATCCATTCTTCTTCTGTCATCCTTAGTCATTATCCAGCTCTCTGATGTATAGCAAGTAATTGTGAAGACCATGGTCTGTATCAGGAACACGTTAGTCTCCAGACTGAATTCTTTGCTTCTCAGTACTCTGGAGAGGTTCCTGACAGCAGACTTCCCAGTGAAATTTGTCTTTTGATTTCCTAAATGCTGGTGCCAAGAGTATTGACTGTGAAGCTGAGCAAGCTGAAGCTGTTAACAACCTCAATCTCTTCTCCATCTATTCTGGTGTTGCTAATAGGCCCAGTGGTGATAAATTTTGTCTTCTTGATGTTGAACTTCTATTCATATTGAAGAGTACAGTCTTTGATCTTCTGCAGCAAGCACTTCAGGTCTTCCTCAGTTTTGGCAAACAAAGCTGTGTCATCTGCGTAATGCAGGTTATTGCTTTCTGGATAACTTAATATTCTGCCCATAGCATCCTTAAGTATCGTATATCAAGGCTTGAATTTATTTAGTTCCTTCAGCTTAAAAATGCGGAGTGAGTTTTTCCCTTTTGATTTTCTGACTCTAAATTTTTGCACATTTCATTATAATTCTTTGCTTTGTCTTCCTGTGCTGTCCTTTGAAATCTTCTGTTCAGTTCATTCACTTTTTTATTTCTTCCCTTTGTTTTCAGTTCTTAGTGTTCTAGTGCAATATTCAGAGTCTTTTGCAGCATCCATCTTTGCCTTTCCAATGGCACATAACAACAACAACAACAGTTTTTGTAATGACCTTTTGCATTCTTCATGGATAATATTCTTGACATCCTCCCACAGCTCATTTGGGCTTCACTTATGAGTGTCTAAGGCCTCAAAATCTGTTCTTACAATGTGTTGTTTTGTTGCGTTTTTTTGTGTTTTTTTTTTAAATTCAAGTAGGATAGATTAAAGATCAAATATTGGTACTTATGAATTTGATTTTATTTTCTTTAGCCTCAGTTTGACTCACATATGAGTAGCTGATGATCTGTTCCACAATCAGCACTCCATTTTCACAGCTGATATTGAGCTTCTCTAACAATTCTTTCTAAGATGTAATTGATCTGATACCTGGGCAAACTGTCAGATGAGGTTCATGTATGTAGTCTCCATTTATGTTTCCCATAAAAGGTATTTGCAATGAATAAATCATTGACTGTACAAATTTCTATCACCAAACCCATATTTTCTGACTATTAATCCTTCTTCTCCACTCCCAGCTTTTGTATTCCAGTCAGTCATTAATAATAGTGCATCTTGGTTGCATGTTTGGTTGATTTCAGACTGCAAAAAATTGGTAGAAATTGTATATTTCATCCTCTTTGGCTCTGATTGTTGGTGCATATATTTGAAAGATAGTGCTATTGACAGGTTTTCCTGTCATGCATTTATGTAACTCATTGTATTTCAAGATAGATCTGAAAATGGATTTTTTAACTATGAATATGACCCCATTTTCCCTCACCTTTTCATTTCAACATAGTAGATCATATGACTGTCTGATTCAAAATGTCCCATGACAATCCATCTCATTTCGCCAATGCCCAGTATTTAATTTACCTACATTCATGCTTCTCACATTCCATGTTCCAATAATTACTATCTGCTTACAACTATTCCTCCTTCTTTGTATTTGCCAACCAGAGGGCTCAGCCTCAGATGCCACATCTGCTAGTCTAATTAAATGTGCTCTACTGTGCACAGGGTTTTCAAGGGCCTTTTGTTTTGGAAATAGATGGCAGATCCTTTGCCCTAGTCCGCCTTAATTTAGATGTTCAAATTAGAGCAATATTTGGCTGACAAGTGTTTCCTCCAGCACCAACTCAAAGATATTGATTGATTCTTCTTTTTTCATTTTTATCATTGTCCAGCTTTCAGATGTATAGGGAGCAATTGCATCAGACACATCTTGGTTTTTAAACTGACATCCGTTCTTTAGCACTTTGAAGAGACCCTTGAAATCTTGAGAGCAGATTTCCCCAATACAACACTTTTGACTTCTTGACTTCTGCTACCATGGATGATGTTTGTGGATCCAAATAAAATGAAATCATTGACAACTTTAATCTTTTCTCCATCTATAGTGGTGCCTTTTAGTCCAATTGTGAGGTTTCTTGTTTTCTTGATGTTGAAGTGTAATCCATGTTGAAGACTGAAATCTTTGGTCTTCTTTAGTAGATGCTTAGAGTCTTGTCTTAGTACTTTTTTTTCATTATCACTGGGTGGGCTAAAATTCACAACTTTTAAGCTAGTACCCAATGCTACTTTTGATTATAACTCTCAATGTCAACCTTCAGTTGTGTTTCTGAAGCTGGTAATACTGATAGCAGAAGAGACTATTCATCTT